TCTCTCTCTCTCTCTCTCTCTCTCTCTCTCTCTCCCTCTCTCTTTCCTTCTTTCTCTCGTTCTCGCTTGAACGACACTCTCGGCCCTGACCATCGGGAGAGCTCCGACGATCACCGCTCGAAAAATCGCACCATCGATAATTCCCCCTTCGTACTACGAGTGTTGGGTTATTCAGAAAAGTAGTTTGTCCGTAGTCGTCGTCTACGTCGACGTGTCGTTGATTATTTATTTCAAGAATTTTTTTAATCTCACAATCATCGTAACAGAATTTAATATCACGTAGATATTAAATTGCATGTTCGTTATCTCTAAAGAATAATTTATTAAAACGCGAGTTCCCGTTCGTACTACGAATTAATATTTTTTTTTCTTTTTTTTCTTCTTTTTTTTTCTTTTTTCTTTTTTTTTCTTTTCTCCTCTTTTTTTTACACCAGAAATATCGTAACTTTTGTTACGTGCACAAAGAAAAAAAAAAAGAAAGAAAATAATAAAGAAAGAAAAAAAAAAAAAGAAACAAAATAATTCATTAAAACAAGCTGTATTTCGATTATTTGTTTTTGTCGAGATAAATATTATAATTCGTTCGTAATCGTCGTCGACTTGTCGTTGATTATACATTTCAAAAATACTTTTAATCTCACAATTATCGTAATAAAATATTTAATATCACATAGATAATGTTGCATGTTTCTTATCTAAAGAATAATTTATTAAAACGAGTGTATACCTTCGTACCGCTATCGTTCGGTTTATCAAGGAAAAATAATTTTTTTCCTTTTTTGTTGCACATTTAACATTGTTTATTCATTACTAAAATTCTAAAATTAATTATCGTTACAATAGAATTTTTCTCACACGGAGAAATATTATTTCGTAAAGAATAATTATTGAAAAATTATTGAATATAATTTTTATACAATAGTAATTATATATTTTAACAATATGTAAATTATACAAATTGTTTAAACTCATATACGTCATTATTGATTCGCGCTTAAAGTACATTTAAATCGCGTTATAATCAAGTTTACGTTGATGTTTGAAACTTTTCACACAGGGTAATTCGTAAAAGGTAGATTTGTGTATTGAGAGCAGGAGTCCGAGTGGAATCAATTAGAAGACATCGAAATTCCAATTGAAAACTTGAAAGTCGAGCTCGGTTGCGATTCCGTAGCAATGGTAGGACTTTTATCGGTTTCGTTTCCATACTCTCTTCCTCCTCCACTTCCACCACCACCACCACCAACACCACCACCATCACCACCATCACCTCCTCCTCCGTCTCCTCCTTTTCCTCCTCCTTCTCCACCTCTACGCTTCCACCCCTCTACCCCTCCATCCCAAACCCTCTTCACCAGTTCTCGGTTATTATCCCCGCGCGAAAACAAAGCGCTTTCAAATCCGCTTTTAACCCACCATCGCGTTGAAAGCGCGATAACGTTGTCGAACATGTTACTCGTCAGTGGTTCTCAATAATCCAAATGTTCTAACTACGTAGGATTGTCTATAACCAAGTTTTTTTTTCTTTTTCTTTTTTTTCTTTTTTTTTTTATTTTTTCTTTTCCTTTTTTTCTTTTTTTTCTTTTTTTGTTCTTTCTTTCAGTTTACAAATATTTCGTCGTTTCGTCGTAACGATGATGTGATTTGTGAAAGCAGAAAAAAAAAGAAAAATAAAAAAAGGAAAAAAAAAGAAATGACAAAAAATATCAATCTAATGAAATAATAATTTTTCCAAATATTTCGATGTACATACGTACATATATATATATATATATATATATATATATATATATATATATATATCAGATCTAACATAAAAATATTATTTAAATTTCGAAACGTAAAACGTAGGTAAATGGAAAATTACAAAATTGTCTGATTTACGTTGTTCCATATTAGAGTCGTGAAGCATATATAGCCGTTTTAATTCGATAGTACGTGAGCTTGGAAGCGTGCGGAATGTAACGTATCTAATCGTCGATTTCGTAGGGTGCCGACTCTCGTACTCGAGCTTTACAGAATCCATTAACCTCCGTGTCTACTAGGACCCAGTGGCCTCTTCCGTGAGATAAATCGCGTTGGTATGCTAATACGTCTCTACCCGCGTCTTCCTGTTGCTGCTACTTCATACATACAATACATATATGTATATATACATATATACATATATACGTATACATAGATATATAGATATGTATTTATATAATACATTTACTATTTTATGCGTGTCTTCGTTTATACATACATGTGTTGCATCTATGTAACAATACATTTAATATTCCAAACCGAATAATTACGGAATGACACGAGTTACTTTGTCGTCGTCGTCGTCATTGCCGCCGTCGTCGTCGTCGTCGTCGTCGTCGTCGTCGTCGTCGTCGTCGTCGTAGTTGTCATCGTCGTTGTAAACGCGCGACAATTTTGAAAAGTGCGCTCCCGTTAGCGCATCGCATCCTCGTCGACTTTAATTTAACGCCGAAGTACGAATTAAATGGTCCGAACGAACGACAAGAACTAAACGGGGATTGTTTCGCCTGTAGTATATTTTCCCATTGCAAAAAAGGGTAACAACCCTCGACGCGTTCGTTACATATAAATGACATACTATTGACTATTAAAGTATGTAGTTAATTATCTGAAATTTGTAAAATTTTATTGTCTCTCCATTAGAAATTTTTTTTATAACTTTTGATAATACAGTTTGATAATACAGTTTTTGTTTTCTATTTCTTTCCATTTTTTTTTTTTTTTTTTACGACTGACTGATCACCGACTCGTATAATTGTTTAGAAGAAAAAAAGAAAAAACAAAGAAAAGAAAAAGAAAGACAGTTAGAGAGATCGATTTGAATTGATAGAAAACAAAAATTGATGACAACGTTTTGTTTCAAAATATCTTTTTTTCTTTCTTCCTTTCTTTCTTTCTTTCTTTTTTTCTTTCTTTCTTTGTTTTTTTTTTTTTTTATTTTCTTTCGAAACCTAACTACCGTAGAAAAGAATCTTCTTCTTCTTCTTCTTCTTCTTCTTTTTTTTCTTCTTTCTTACTTGTCAAACTTTTTAAGAGAACATTCGTCGTCTTTTTTCTCCTTTTTTTTCTGCAATATATCACAAATATCATGCAAACGACGTTTGAAAAAACTTCTATTCTTTATCAAGTATCTTAGGCTTTAACTTTTAATCCAATATGAAATTTAACTTCCAAAGAGACACAAGTTCGAACGTTCTCCTATCTTGTCTTCCCCTCTCCCTCTCTCTCTCTCTCTCTCTCTCTCTCTCCTTAATCTATTCCTCAAAAAATGTCGTGTGTGCGATCGAAATTCTTGGAAAAAAATCTGCTCTTCGTAAAAATTCTTACGTTTTAATTTAATGGATATTCAATATACAAAGAGATGCTCAAAAAGTACTCATTCTTTTTTTTCTTTCTTAAATTCATTACCAATCATCAGTTTAATCAGACGTTTCATAAAAAAAAAAAAAAGAAAATTAAATACACACAGAGAAAGAGAGAGAGAGAGTGAGAGAGAGAGAGAGAGGAGCCAGAAATAAATAAATAAATAAATAAATAAATAAAGAAAGAAAGAAAAAAAGAACGAAAGAAAGAAGGAAAAAGAAGAAATAAATGACAATAACAAGAATAAAACAAAACGAAAGAAGGAAAGTTAATACGTACGTGGCAGTATTGTAAACGTTGCGAATCGAGCGTGGAAAATGACGAGATGCCCTTATCCAGACAATAAATCTCAGGATCTCGACAAAAGGGCCCAGCGCGATGGGCGTGACCCGTTACTATTCCGTGTCAGTGGGCTTTCAATGGGTATAGTTGCCTCTTATTTTTCCTCTTGGTTCTCCTAGCTCTCGTTTTCGATTCGTGAGAGAAAGATGGACGATGAAGACATCGACTTTTGTTCGATTCGTTTCGGCCTGCTGTCGAATGTGTTGTCCATATCGTTCTCTCTCGCATAAGTTCCTCCTCTCTATCTCTCTAATGTTTCCTTTCTCGATATTTTAACGTATATAATATACGTACATATATATATATATATATATATATATATATATATATATATATATTACACTTGGATACATAGTGCTAGTATTATATTATAGTTGGAAATTGGTCGGGAACTTGTTTGCGAGGTCATGCCTCGTTTTCCTTCGCGTCAATTCGTGGCGCGTGTTATGAGTCTAACCAACGACTACGACGAACGTTCATTGTTCGAAAATATTAGATCTATCTTTATCTAGTACCCGAGTGTACGTGTGTATGCATATACGTATGTGTGTATATGTATGTGTGTGTGCGAGAAAGAGAATGAAAGAAAGAGAGAGAGAGAGAGAGAGAGAGAGAGAGATTGGAACGAATTGACCTTCATCGTACACACGCTCTAACAAGCACAGATCGATTGCTTATCGTCAGGATATTATTTTGTATGACAATAATTCTTATAATATCTGTATACCAAGTACATAATTATTATTATTTAAATATTTAATATTTATTACAATCATATAATTATATATTTTAATAAATTAATTTAATATCTGATTAATGTTTATCTTATATTTAAATAAATAAATATATATATATATATATATATATATATATATATCGATAGACATTATGTCTTATTTTCGATTTTGATTTAAAAGTAAATATATAAAAAGTTTTATTATAAAATTCTTGTAAAAAAAATATTATACATACCTATGAAATATTTATTAATATATTTTATTTAGATGATTATTATATGCGTACGTTTATATATCTATTAAATGAAATGACATATGTTAAATAGATACATGAGTATTAAACGAGATCGATAATTATAGGAGTCCAAATGTAAGATAGAAAAAAAAAAAAATGTAAATAAATATATAGGTGAATTCGTTCGTACCTTATACGTATGTATATTCTTACCACGGAATGTTATTGCTCGTATAGGAATTACACGGTGAGAAGGTCATCTGAGATAGGTCGTCATCTTCAGTTGACACGTAAATTCCGAGGGAAACGCACACGTCGCGTCTCTTCTGCGTGAAAGAACGATTATTTTTGTGAAATATTAATCCTCCCTCTCTCCCTCTCTTTCTTTCAAAAAACTTCTGAGAACCTTTTTTCCTCTCGTGTTGACCGATGAGAGAAAAAGACAGAAAGACAGAAAGAAAGGGAGAGAGAGAGAGAGAGAGTGAGTGAGAGAGAGTGAGAACGAGAGTGCAAATACGTAGATAATTCACGGAAGTGCGTGCAAGAAGAGGAACGAAAATTTTCAACATGATTGGCGATTCCTTTCGGAGGACAGTCAACTTGGTTGGTTGTTTGCCTTCTTGAGGATCTTCTTTCCATTATGGAAACAATCTTTGTCGATCTCAATATCGATCTTTTGGTCGGAAAAATGTAAAAATCTAAGGTATTTAAATAATTATATTTATTATATATCTTATATATCTTATTGTGAATTTTGTTTTGTTTCTTTTTTTTATTTATTAATTTATTTATTTTTTATTCTTTCATTCTTTCTATATTGTTTATATTTTTTCTTTTTTGATACATATTTTATTAAAATGGTATGCATTCATTATATCGATATTTTGTGTATCTTAGATAAACGAACGTATGTGTAAATCTTTATCAATCGATTAAAATTATTAAAAATTATTTTATTATAATCTTTACTATATAAGACGCGTACATAATATATCTATATCATAGAAAAAAAACAAACATAGATATTGATATACGCATATTATAAATATAAACATAAATATAAATTATATGGCATATCATATACGTGAAAATAAATTAATTCATTATAATTATCTTAATTAATATATTGAATATAATTGACAAATATTTTTATTAATAAATATCAATGAAAGTATTAATACAAATTTGATCGAACTTTTGTATTTACTTCTTTATTTATTTATTTTTTTCTTTTATTACTTAAAATACTATAAAGATTGACATAAACATAACGTAATATAACATAAGCTTATAGCTTCATTAATATATGTACCTGCGTAATAGATCAATACATAATAATAGGATATATGTATATTGTAAACACGATCGTAAACATAATTACATGCATATTGTAAATACAAACATAAACGTAATAATATGCATATCATACACGTAAGAAGTATAATATCAATCGATATTGTTATCAATGGATAATAACGAAAAAAAATAAAAAAATAAAAAAAGAAAAGAAAAAAGGAGAAAAAAAAAGAAATTTACAATTAATCTCGCCTGATATTTCTTTTATAATTTAAAATATTATAATAACGTGGCATTATATATTTATTATTTTACTTTTTGGTTACGTGCGAGACTATAATGAAAATATTTCGCGGTATTCGGTTTCGCGCGTGCGTGCTGAGTCAGGAACTCGATCATCGATCACTTATTGTTAGCGACCGAACACACTTTGGATCGTGACTGCACTTATTTGCCTCGACACCCTTTTCGCCTTTCGCACTTTTACCGTTTTACTTGACAAGTCGCGCTCCTGCTGCACGCCGGATCAACGTTTTCGATTTCAGTCGGCACGGCCCACGCTTATTCTAGAGGGAGAAATGCCTTACGAAACGCCTTAGGGAGATCTATTAATAGATCCTGATCCATGCACACCGTCGATCTCATTCTCCTTTCTCGAAGAAGAAGAAGAAGAAGAAGAAGAAGAAAAAATTAAAATTCAACTTCTTCCATACATATATAAATATATTATAAAATAATATTGATATAGAAATAAAATACATATATAGTATATATATATATATATATATATATATATATATATATATAAGAATATAATGAATATATTAATCCTTGTAAATCGAATAATAATTTGATACATGAACAATTTAAATTTGTTAAAATTGTATTTTTAATAATATACGATTGAAGAACAGATAAGACGAATTAAACATTGACGAATAATTAATTACTAATATAATTAATTTAATTATATTATTAATATAATTGAAAATTAAATAATTACTTAATTAAATAAGTAAGTAAAAGTTTCTTTCGATTAATCGATTAATTAATTAATCAATCAATTAATTAATTAATTGAAACGCGTTGAAAAAATTTTACGCGTTTAAAGTACCTTTCTGGACCACCCAGAAAGGGTAATATTACTCCATGAACCCATAAAGGGGGGGATTCGTATACCTCGAGCGAGAGAATGGAGAGGGAGGCGATCACTCGCGAGGACGTGATGGTTCCTAGATGTTCCCTCAGGAAAGACGTTTACGTTAGCAAGTATAAAATGACCTGATCGGTCATATGCCGAAGAGTGACTATATGGATATCTTATAACGACGAACGACGCTCGGAAAGATCAACGACAGATGACGGACGATGGGAAATGGACCACCGTCGAAGCTTACGATAGAATCCTATCGAAAACATACGTTGTGTGAATCTGCGTTTGTGTATGTTTGTTTGTGTGTGCATGTGTGTAGGTTGATATATATATATATATATATATATATATATATATATATGTCTATTTACTTCGATTATATATAGTATAGATACTCGAGAGAAGAAAGACAAAAAAAGAATACTTCCCACGATTTTCATCTTACGCGAATTCCTCTTCTTTCTCCTTCTCCTCCTCTTCTTCTTCCTCTAACTTTACTTTCGTCTAAATCGTTAACCTCGAAGTTGAAACTCGTGGAAAAATGAAAAGGAGGAGAAAGAAAACGCGTCAGTTGTTCGACGATAGCTCGATAAACTTCGAGACACTCGAGATATTTCATGTAGATCGAATAAAATTGTCTCGATATTAGACCATTTTTTACTTTTGCTTGTGTTGTTTTTCTTTTTTTGTTTTTCTTTTTTTTTTTTTATTGCTCGCACAACGAGCACAGGCAATACTTAAACTGTGTACATTTCGAAACGATACGAGATATTATTTGCTATAAAGGATAAAACTATTAAGCCTTTGTTATTAAAACATTAAACATATCGTATAATTAATTTTCAACAATATAAATTATTATCTCATTTATTGTCATAAATTATAGAACTTTAAAACTTTTTTCTTCTACTCCAATCTCTCTCCCTCTCTCTCTCTCTCTCTCTCTCTCTCTCTCTCTCTCTATAAATATATAAATATATATATATATATGCGTGATAAAATTCGATAAATTTTGTTATTATTTAGATATTATCAAATATCATCATATTAATTGCATAAATATACAAATTTTATTTTTATCAAATAGAAAATTACTAAATAATTAATTAACAAAATATTATTATAAATCTACATAGAAATCGTATAGAATTATTTTTTAATTTGTCTATCTCTTTCTCTCTCTCGCTCTATCTCTCTGTCTCCGAATTAATAAGATCGTAAACGTCAAGAAACAATTAAGAACAAAATCGCATTTAACACGATTATATTCAAAGTATAATGTCATGGCGTTTCGTCGATTCAGATAAAAACAAGAGAGAGAGAGAGAGAGAACAAGTCAAAGAAAGAATGAATGAATGAAAGAAAGAAAGAAAGAAAGAAAAGAAGGGTGGATGAAAGGAAGGAAGGAAGGAAGGAAGGAAGGAAGGAAGGAAGGTAGGAAGGTCTTCCTTTAATTACGCAGCCGCTTGCAGTCGCTTTTCTCAGGCGGCATTCGGACGAAATTGCATCAGGATGCGCTTCCATCGTTTTTTATAAAACGAAATAGGACACCGTTGGATATCGTTTGAAGCCCTTCTCGCTCGCGAAATTACGCGTTTCGTAACGAGACGAACAAGAAGAAGTAGAAGAGGAAGAAGAATAAGGAGAAATAAAAGTAAAAATAATAAGGAAGAAGAAGAAACGGAGAAAGAAGAAAAAAAGTGAAAGAAAAGAAGGTGAAGATGAAGAAGAAAGAAGAAGAAGACGCGGAGGAGGAGGAGGAGGAGGAGGAGGAGGAGAAGAAACAGGAGGAGGAGAAGGAGGAGGAGGAAAAAGTACAAGGCCATCATCCTATACAGGGATGACAAAACTCCCTCTAACATCATCCCTCGAGCATCATCCCTTTCTCGTTCACGTGTTTGCCTTACCACGTTACAACCACGAGCTACGACACGGTACTTTGAAGTGTCGCATCTGCGGTTACCCAAGAACACCTCTCGGTGAGTAGGTAGTACTCTCTCCTTCTCTCTCTCTCTCTCTCTCTCTCTCTTTACTATCGTAGAACGTGCATGGATGGAACTACACGTAAGTACTTCGTAGGTACTTAATCCCTTCGCACGCTGCGAAGGGTACGAACAGTCTCTACTTTGTATATCATCTTTACTCTCGCTACATCTTTCTCTCTCTCTCTCTCTCTCTCTCTCTATACATATATATATGTGTATGTGTGTATATACATATATGTGTATGTGTGTATGTATATCTTTATATCTCTTTCTTTTTTCTCTTCTCTTTCTGTATTCAGTAACGCGATTTCGAGTGGAGCTTGGATTTTAAATCCCGGACTCATCCATTCAAAGGAGTCCTCTCGACCCCCGTATATAACTATACTACATCTATATATATATATATATATATATATATATATATATATATAGATATTTATATATATTATATATATATATATATATATATAAAGAAAGAAATGTATGAGAGGGTGCAAGAGAGAAAGATATATATATATATATATATATATATATATATCTTTCTCTCTTGCACCCTCTCATACATTTCTTTCTTTATTCCTTTCTTTATTTCTTTCTCTTCTGACGCGTATTTCGGTAGGGAGGAAGGTGATGCGTGATCCAAAAGCAAGGTGCTCATGATCATTGGCGGCGTACTTTCTTTAAAAATTTTTCTTCACTAAATACGCACTTATATCAAAATGAATATTATTAAATATTTATTTTTCATTTTGTCAATATAAATTGTATATTTCTTTTCATGAAATCAACGGATATTATTTAGATTAAAATGGACAAATATTTAGATCTGAAAAATATCTAATGATTTATATCGATAATTGCTTTATTAATTGTTATATTTTAAATAGGATTATATATTATCTCTCTATGAATGTTTAAATGTCGACGCCTATGTTCCATAGTCCATGTCAAACTCCTTCTACTTGTACGCTTATTCATTATTATTATTACGTTATCCACGAGCTTAAGAATCGTCCCGTGAAGAGGTAAGGGAAGGGTACCTCAAAAGAAACGGTACGAGCGTGTCGGTAATATGAGGGTGAGAGGGGGTGGATTTATAACGCTTGGAAAAAAAATGGAAAGAAAGAGAGTGAAAGAGAGAGAGAAAGAGTGCAGGGGTACTCGATTTTAATCCCCCGCAATCCCACGCAACCTTTTTTCATCTTCTGTCCTGGTTTTTCTTGAATTTTGTCCCTTCCTTCCCTCTTTCTTTCTCATTCTTGTGACGTT